AGTGAACACACACACACACCGTAAACACACACCCGGAGCAGTGGGCAGCCATTTATGCTGCGGCGCCCGGGGAATCTTTAAACTTTAATTGGACTAATTCAAACAAAAGCATTTTGACTGATATGAAATTAATATTTTTGTAAAATAATAAATACAAATATTTGTATAAACTGAGACTGAATTGAGTACTGCTGAGAGATGATCTGAATGTACAATATATGTTTCAAAACACCTTAAAACACATCCCAAATCTGGGATTAGTACAAAAAAAAAAAAATTATTTGTGTAAATATCTATATCATGTAATGCATGCATTGCGACATGAAATATGCTTTGCATTAAATTACAACATTCTGTTTCATTGGGCAGTTATGTTTAATGCAGTTTGGTTTCAAAGCCTAAAATAACCGCTCATCCCTGCAGCATTTTTACTGCCATATGACAACGTTTACGATCCAAAAAATGACAAAAACATTACCGTCCTGCATTTTGTTTGAGTAGTGTTACACCTCATGACTTTCTGATGCCCTTAACAGATAACAGATGCTATCTGATCTTCCTGGTTGAGCAAATACTGCTTCAATGGTGCCTAAATAATTGGTCATTATACACTTTAGAACTTGTTACCCACTTCTCTGACAAAATGTGTTTATCTTCAGCAAACCTCTGACTGCATATGTGTTGCTAATTAACTTTTTTGTATATTTTACATCTGAAAATGAGGAATTCTTTTTATGCAATTGAGAAAAGTTAAACTGCTTAAACTAAAGAATACATTAGTGCTGAACTGAGTGCAGTTATGCCACTTTTCCACATATTGATTAGTCTTTTGGAAAGTAGAATATAAAAGTAGCTCCCTTTTCGAGATTGATGACCTCTGGGCTGATTAATAAAAATGCTTTAGACTTACTTAACCTTACTATAAAAATTAAACTTTACTGCTAGCTTGGAAAAATACACAAACATTACCACACATGCAGTTAACAGTTGCAAAAACCCCTGCTTTACCTACCTACAACTAGACAACAAACACAGTCCAGTCGTAAACAAAACAGAAAACTGGTAGACATACCAATCACTGAGGCCCTGTAAGACAACCCAACCTAGGCCTGTCACGATAACAACTTTTTGTTGTGCGATATATTGCCCCAGAAAGACAAACGATATTATTGTCATTTTAAGACCATTTTATGCCACTGAATATATAATCATAATATAACAGCATAATAATGCAAGAAGGCCTACACACTTTCAAATGACAACAAACTTTTAATTCTTAAGAATATTTAGATCATGGAAATTAAGTCAAAATATTAGATACCTTAAAAAACTTGAATACATAGTAAATAAACATTTTCTAACAAAAAGTGCAAAGTAACAACTTGCAGAAAAAAAGAAAAATGCACAAATAACTTATGGAGATTTTTCCATCTACAGATTTTTCCCTGACCTTCTTTTCTCTGTAAATTAAGGGTGCACACTATTGCTGAAAAACACAATCACTACTTAGCAGTCAGATGTCCGTATGCACAAAGGCACATATCTCTAAACAAGATCATATCTGCAGATGAAACTTTTTTTGTAGAAGCATTTTTTAAATTTGAACTAGCACCTCATGACTACACCACGTTATGTACGAGAAGCTGCAAAAGACACAGGCGCAAGTGGAATGTACAAAACATGGTGACATAAATTTTTGAGTAAATATAATGGGCGATATATTGCGTCACCAAAAATTATTGAGGTCACATACATATATTGTGCGATAAGTCGATATATTGATTATTGCGACAGGCCTAACCCAACCCTGTCCAGTAAAAGCATATGGCCCAATTGGCCTCAATGACATCAGCCTTCTCAATCTCATCTAACAGGCTTATCAGAGTCTCTTTAGCTGATCTCTTCAGACCTGCAGTTTACCCTCATACAAAGGGATTTTATGAGTCAGGTCACCGCTGCTTTAGGGTGCAGGAAAAGAGAGATCTAGTCTGTTTGAAGCGATATAAAGGGCAGGCACAGGAGAGAGATGGCAGTGAGGCTTCATGGCTCTTGTGCAACTAAAGATGTTGAGAACTGAAAAAGAGAGAGTGTGTGTGTGTGGCCTGGTTTAACATCTGGGTGTTTAACTCTCACTCTCAATAGGTGGGGAAAGAGATGAGACACAGACCTGCGTACATGCATTTTTCTCCAGCTGACGTGCAGTGGAAAACGGCTGTGTAAATGTGCATGCACACCACAAACACACGCAGGCTGGATATGGACGCTTTGAGAGGCCAGCTCAATCGGGCTGTATTGCAAGCCAAATGAAATATTTTATATAATCCAAACAGGTAGAGAAACATTAAGAACAAGGTTAAGAGAGTCATTGTCATTTGGTTTTCACATGGAAACAATTTTTGCAGTCATTTAGATGTTTTTTAAAAGGTTCAACTATCTAAAAGGATTTTTGATAAACACAAAAAGATCAGATTAGTTCTGAGGAAACAAACTTTCTGAAAATTCCCTGTAATAAGATGAGCATAAAACTGCACCAGGCCAATGCATTAAAGGAAAAGTTCAAATTTGCTGAAAATGTACTCTTTCGCATGGAGAAATCCACTAGAATTTTTTTTTTAATTCACTGGGGAAAGCAATATTATGGATAAAAGACTTTTAACTGGAAGCAACAGTTTTAAGTAAAAAATGTCTGAATAATGAATTCGATTTTTTTTTTTTACAAACACAGCTTTTCACTTCACAAAATATTAATTGATATTTTATTGATAGTTAATTGTGAGGTTTTTTTTTGGCAAATTTTCATTTTTGAGTGAACTATTCCTTTAAAATTAAATGTTTTTCACAAAAAGCAGAAGCTGTACAAAAGCAGAAAGGCATGTCTCTTTCTGGAATGAGATAAATTTATGGTATTCATAAAAAACAGGTAACCACATTTGGCATTTCCTCTATAATAACTGATTCTATCTTACTATTAACGGTAAACATTAAAGTCAAGCACTGTTTCCCTCTCTACCTCTTGCCAAGCATAGGCAGGTCAATTAAACAAACCACTTAAAGAGGAGAATGCAGCCATAAGCCCTCCATGAACACTCACAGAGGAATGTGTTAATTATCCAATGCATTAGCAGGTTGCCATGAGTTGCAAAATTAAGCACCTGGAGATCTTTTAACATCGTGACCACATGGTTATTCCATTAGCAGAGGTTACTTACTACATAACTGATAATGACATGACATTTAAGCAATATCACCTGAGCAAAAATTCACTATAAAAAATTAAATAAAATGCCACTACATATTTTCAAGCTTACGAGATTTATGATTAATGAATATTAAGATTTGTGAATTAAGGTACTTGAAACTACATAAAAACCTAGGCCCACAGAATTCCCCCCAATGTTGTCCAAACTAGTCAAACAAAGTTGTCTGAAAGAAAAACTTCAAATTGAACAATTAAAATGCTAAGGGTTTGTGAATTCCCAGCATGCATTGCAACATGAATATATTATATGGTTACTGTCATGGGATTATTGTTTTGATTGCTAGTTATTTGTTATTGCCAGTTTTTTGTTGTTGTAATGTTAAGAGCTCATCTTTTTTTATACATTAGTTGACTGTCACCATTCTTAAGGTTTGTCAAGTGTCTATGTTCAACCTTCTAAAATTAGATCCCAAAAATCTTTCATTTGTAAGGTGTTTGCACTTTCAGAATCAAAATTAGCATAGTTTCCGTCACATATTAAGTGTCCTATGAAACTAATAATTTATGGCTATCAAAATGACAGATACATTTATTGCATTAATAATTGAATTTAGTGAACAAACAAATAATAGTGTTCATTTTTAAGACACTGGTTGGAAAACCTGAAAATCTGAATGCATCATGCTGTACTTTATTTTTCTCTCCTTTTTACAGTGTTCGGCCACAAGCACAAGGCCACAGGTAAACACAGCAGTGCTGATATTCGGTGCTAAACCAAGATTGTGACATTGCTTTAATACAACAGCTCTATAAACAACTAATACGGAGAAATGTGTTTCAAACAAAAAATGGTTGGTTACCACACGTAAATAAAAAAAGCCAAAGCATCAAGCTACGCAGGTCACTAAATTCACTATGATATGCATACAGTTTAATTAATGAAAAAAGGGTCAGCCAAATAGAGACTAGTTACTCTGACAAAAAGCTGTGGATTTTGTGACTGCAGAAAGGACAAATGCAAAATGTAGTGAAAATGTATTTATGTATGAGAAGAAGACATGCATATTTGAAAGCACTGCCCCCGTGACCCATTCAAAAAGCCAAATCACATAATGGCTCCTCATAGAAGAGAAACGTTACACCCAGATGTCAAAATGATCCTTCACCACGCTCGATAATTGTACTGAGAATAGGAGACCGTGTTTCTCTGGAAATAGGAGTCTGAAATTTAATTATCCAGCCTTTGGAAAATGTAGGGCGGACAGAAGACAGCGCAATGATATAAAACTGCACTCAGTGAGTAACTAATGTCAAGCTCCAGGTTTAACTGAGTGAGCACAAGATACCGGAGCCGTAAATCAAATAAACACTCTCTAGCCTTAGGTAATTGCACTTTTAAGAAAGGTTAGAAAGAGTCCAAAAAACACACACACACACACACACACACACACACACACACGAACATACAAACTAAGAGAAAATGTTTCAGAACCAGTGATGCTCTAGATATTCTTCACATTGCATTTATTTTTTTACAGCGGGCATCCTCAAAATATGTTAGCTAAACTTTTGCATTCAATAACAATCTACTGAGCATGCAATGCAGGAACGTTTATGCCAGTGATTCATGTTGTTTGCCAGCTACACAGATGGGAAAAGCTCAGTGCTTCTCAGTGCTGCCAAGAGTCTGCTGACTGCATGAAATCCTCTGATGAAAACACGCAACACAGTCGGAGATCAAAACATATGGTCAAGAATAAAATACCGCAAGTCTACTAACACACATAAGCTTTAATCTTACCCCAGGATCCAGTTATTTACGGATGACATTCGACGAAATCATTTTGCACCAATCCACAAGACCGAAATGCATGGTTAAAGATCCCCTGGACCGCGACAGAAAGTGGTCAATTCAACACCGCAGCCGCGGAGACACCTACACCAGAGTGAGCAGGAGCGTCTATCGCTCTGGTTTCTCCGCCAACTAGCCCCGCCTACTCTTTTACATCAACACGGAACCTTTCCTCCCATTGGCTCTCGGTTAGACTAGGACAGAGCCATAGGACGCGTATAGCAGCGTGTCCGACCAATCACGCCGGTCTCTGAAATTAAAAAGGGGCGGGACTCAGAGTTGGAAGTCATGCGGGCGGATGCGATGCATGACGTCAACCCTTTTGTTACCTTGCCGACCCCTTTCATCTGAAATAGCACTTATCTACGAGTCTAAAACATAGCGTCTTAATTCATAAACATCTTGGTACAGACTGTGCACTTTAAGAAGCATGTTCCAAGGGTTTTAACTTACAGATAGCACTATTCAAGGCAAACAAAATGAGTATTCTAATGAAGCAGGTGCGATCAATAAAACACATTAGATATAAATTTCAATTTTAATGAAGCACAGACTATACTTGCTCCATGGGTGGCCAGTGTTGTTACGTGAAACCATGTGATTTTCTGTTATTTCTTTACACTCAAAAGATTTATAACGAATCCATCTGGCTAGACTACAGCTGGGATTTATGACAGAGCAACTGTACATTACTATCCAAATGGTCATGCGTCGTTCACAAAAGTCGTGCATGTATGTGAATCGCAGTCAATTCTTCACAAACCATAATAAACCCTCTAATGATATGAGACTTTATAACTTTCCACCCACCAGCCAATCTGCTGTCGGCTGTCAAAACCCCCAGCTTCAAATACCGCACTGCTTCTCGGCGGAGAAATCCCCGGTGACATTTCGAGACAACGCCTTTGATATTCAGCAAAGGTCACAGCCATAAATTTATATATTTATATATTTATATATATATATATAATTTATTTATTTTTTTTGTCGAGAGGATCAAATGCGAAGTCTGCAGTCTGCCATCCAAAATGCCCTGTAACAACGCCAAGTATCCCTCAAAAGCAACATATGCATTAGAAATACTTAACATTGCCGAGAAAACAAGAACATTGCAAGTAATTTGTAGGGAAATAAAAACACATCTCCTAATGAAGTACAACACATCACAATTACAATTGCAGCTAAATGTCCATTCATTCATTCATTCAGGGGAATTCAGCATGCATAGTAGCCAGAAATTACCACTCAAATAAATGCACTGCTTGTTCTAGAACAACTCATAAGCGGATTTTCGGTGTATTTAACTATTGTTTTATAAGCACTGACGTCAATTTTGTGTTTTGGCCTAAAGTAGAAGGCCAAGTGCATAAGTTGCCATCTCTTCCACACTAAATGAAATAGAGAGCTGACTCCTTTGTTGCTTCCTAAAGCTTGATGGCATAGATGGACAGTAAGCAATCGTGCACAAAATCAGTACAGTGGTATCATTCAAATGCTATACTTACTCTCCGTGGATCATGGTATTATACATTGTTCAGAACATCGTACTGGATTAGTATTATTTGTATACTGTGTTTTGATTGTTTTTTTCTAGTGTCGTTGCTCTGCTTTGCCGAATCAGTGTCGCTGTCTGCGGCAGCAACTTCCGGCGCATGCGCGACAGCGCTCGCGTCACAGACGATGGCTGCGGTCTAAACATTTTCTTTAGTTATATGTACAAAATTCAATTCAGTATGACGGAACAGATGGGGAAAACCCACATACATTCGCGCACAAATGTACATATTACATTTACAAAATCTTCCGCAGTCAGCATTAGTCCAAATATAATGATTTCTGCAAAAGGCAGTTTTGGAGTCGTTTTTCTTTTCTAACCAATCACACACATCTTCCCTGAATCTGATTATGCCATATTTTAACCTCGGATCTAAATAATCTTGTAGCAGCATCGTGTCTTTCTGGATTTCTTGCAAAATCACTCCTTGTAACTTTATCAGAGTATGTCTAATGTCTGCCCCTTGCTTCGCATTTCATGTTGCTGTGACTGCAGAGATAATCATGGTTTATCATTTTCTAACCATGATATCTTGGTGCAATTTAGTGCATATCATTTGTGAGATTATTCTCCTCTGGTTGATCGTTTATTCAATTTACTCCAGGAGACAGAGAAGATGTCTTGTATTTGTCTTGGAATTTGTATTAGTTTATCCATTACGTTAAACCATCTTTAGAACTATCATAAATAATAACTTGAAAAACATCACGATAATCATATTGTTTAAGGAGGAAGACATTTGATTAGATAAAAGATCTATCTTGATGGTTGTTAGTGTCTGTCTGTAAGGGAAGCTGTGGTTGATATTTCCTGGTAGAAAAACAACCAAACAGACCAATTTCCTTAAAAAAATTGCATATTTCTCTCTTACTCAGTAAATAGATTTAGCCTTTTGGTAGACTATACTATCATTAAAGTCTAACCATTGTCAGTTTGGGTCCACATTATATGGAAAGGGAGAAAAACAAACACGGAGTGTATACATTACAGTAAAACAATTCATGGGTTATATAGAATAATTTCACAGAATTAAAAAAAGCAACACCTGGAAGGCAGTTGGTAGATGGGGAACAACAGCATTTTCTCATTTTGAAAAACAAAACAAGAATGTAAACCCGTTGAACAAAGAACTGCAAACCGTTACTGTTAGCGCAAATTGTGCATTTACAAGGTCATGATCTCATTGTAATTATAAAGCATAGTCTCTTAATCAAATTACATTAGTGTATAAACAGACTAACTGGCCTCACCCACACAGGAATGTGAGTGTGCTCATCAATAGCGCGTGGTCATTCAATAAGTAAACATCGAGGTTATTTCATATTGAGTCATCGTTATGTAGTTTTGACAGACGCACTGGAAACCTCATCATACAATCTACCGAAATGGCACGAAGAGGACTACCGTTTCGTTTTGAGATCCTCTGCTGATATAACAAAAATAGCCCACGGTATATAATCTGACAAAACACGTCGAACTGGCAAAAAGCCGAGGCTTCGAACGGAACGGAAACTGGTGTTCAAATGTTTAAACTTCCCATCGGCGAGAAAAGAGCCGTGGGATTTAAATAAATCTTGACATTTACTAGAATTTAACAAAACATTCACCCCTCCTTCGCCATTTTGCCGGAAGCCTTCTTCTTCTTTTGTTGATTTCTGGTGAAACGCAAGTGGAGTGTGTATGTCGTCACCTACCGGTCTAATGCGCATCTGCATATAAACATCCAACTTGTTAGGTGTAAAACATGAAATGAAATGAATTACAGCGAATGCCCAAAGGACACGGAAAACAATTAAAATCATATTTCGACAGACAAGCCTAAACCTGAAATGCACTAGCAACCTGATACCCACTAATCCCTTAGTCTGTTCCCTACTTCTGTCCTAAGCGCACACATTCCTGACCTTGCCCCTTTAAAAAGGCAGTAAATTCTACTCTTTCTTCATGACCTCATGACTTCTTAATTTTCATACATTCCTTGTGAAGAATTAACCCTTCATGTCTCAGTATTTAGCTGGGTTATTATCTTATATATTAATAAAGTTAAAAAGTCATATGTAAATATATATTTAATATTTTACATATTTACATGTGTGTAAATATATAACACACAGACATACACTTTAAATATATGCTTTAAATATATCATTAAAAAGACATGATATAAAATTAAATATATTCAACCCTTCTACCTGCACAAACCTTCATTTCGCAAAAGCAAACAAGATGAGATGGTGATTTTCTTTGTATATTTATGCTCCCTAAATACCCAATTCAGCGCACTCTTCAGTCCACTAAGCCATGTTATATGCCAGTGAAGGATCTGAGGGATCTGTATCTCCATAATTTCCATTATGCTAATGGTGTTAGAAAATGCTGCAAAACTTCACAAGATTTGTGCATATCATGCGTGTGCGTATATCATGAATAATTTGAACAGCTGCTTCTAAAATTGTTTTGATCTCAGTGGATCTACTCAGAAGCATTGCAGCTATATTTGTCATATTGATAATAGAAGGCCAAGACATTTTCTGTATTCAACACTAACAATTTCCCTGTTACAGAAGATGGAGTCCATCCCACACAAGCCCTGTCAAAATATTTCTCCTGTCATTTCTGTTCCCACATGCCTGCAATGCCTCCACACATCAAACTTTCTGCTCACTGTAGATTTGTGTACGTCCTATGCTTTCAATTGTACTTGACATCCTCCATACACGCTGCACTATGGAAAGCAGCTCAATTACAACAGTGGAGCCCATCAGTCACTTGACATTTATAATGCTCTAACCATCATATTTTTCACATCTCATTTTCCGTATGCACACTCCTGCTTCATGTCCTGTACGCTAACACCTAAACCAGCTTAGCATTGGAGAAATAATAGCTATACACCTTGTCAGGAAGTCATCCCTCAGACTGGATTAAAACACTCAGACTATCTTGTAATTCCTTTTGAAGCTGAACAGATTCATTGCTTCCCACTTTACTTCCTTTAAGGTTTCCACCAGCATCTTCAACTGTAATATATTTCATGTTTTTCAGCCAATATTTAGTTAGCAGCCAATATTAGACAATATATGTAATATAATGGTATCATCAATATTGGAGATATACCAGCCAATATGCTGTTGTCCCTACTGTTGCATTTGAATATCAAATGAATATCAATTTTCTTATTGTACATTATAATGTTAGGATGTCTAAATTCACGTATAGCATTTAAAACTATTGATTTTAGTTTTAGCTCTGTTTAGCACTTATTTATTTAGGTAAAATAGTGCAACATTTTTACATCAGCCATAAAAAATAATAATTATCGGCTCATCTATATTATATCTTTTAAATATTCTTCCATATTTTTCATAGGCCAATATTCTCATTCGCTGATATTTCTAAGAATGGTTTATCAAAACATATTTGACTTGGTCCTGATAGCTGTTCGTAATCTCTCTATACAGCCCACTTTTCCACAGCTTTACACAAGTCTTATTCAAATATGAGGTGTGAAGAGCAGTGCTAAACCAGGAGGGTTTCATGACAGTTTAA